CCGAGCCCGGCTTTTCTTTTTTTTTTTTTTTGAGTTGGAGTCTCACTCTGTCGCCCAGGCTGGAGTGCTGTGGCACGCCCAAAGTCACAGCAACCTCGACCTGCTGGACTCAGGCGATCCTTCCGCCTCAGCCTTCCATGTAGCTGGATGGAACTACAGGCGCACGCCACCATGCACAGCGAATGTTTGGATTTTTTTGTCTTGCCAAGTTGCCCAGGTTGGTCTCAAACCCTTGAGCTCAGGCAATCCTCTTGCCTCTGCCTCCCAAAGTGCTGGGATTACAGGCATGAGCCAGTATGCCCGGCATGCAACTTTTTCAAAGGCAATGGAAATCTTTTTTTTTTTTTTTTGAGTCACAGTCTCAATCTGTCATCTAGGCTGGAGTGTAATGGCCACTGCAGCCTTGACCTCCTGGGTTCAGGCAATTCTCTTGCCTCAGCCTCCCAAGTAACTGGGACTCTGGTGCATGCCACCATGCCTGGCTAATTTTAAACTTTTTTTGTAGAGACGAGGTTTTTGTATGTTGCCCAGGCTGGTGTCGAGCTCCTGGGCTCACGTGATCCTTCTGCCTCGGCCTCCCAAAGTACTGGGCCCAGCCTGAGAAGATTATTTTATGAAATATCAATTGTCTCACTGGGCAGACAGGCAAGCTGAAGCTCTGCGAGGGATTCGAGTGGGCCAGGGTTGCAGAGCAACCTGACTCCCATCTCCTGGTCTGGACCCTTTATCCCAGGTCCTGCTGCCCTCTGGGTTCTCTTTGACAGGGCCCTTGGACTCCCCAGGAGGGGCCCTTGCGAAAAGGGTCGGAACGAAGAGGAGAAGCAGGGCCGGGTCTGGGGGGGAGACAGCGGCCCACAGGGAGGACAGCAGACCCCGCCCACGGTCAGTGCCTCAGCCTGACAGTGGAGGCAGCACACTCACGTAGGCCAAGTGGAAGGGGAGTCCCGGGGCCTGGAGCTGCAGGAAGACGTTCGTGTGCACGCTGAGGACCAGAAGCACCTCTCGGGGCCGGGTGCCGTTCTGCTCAGCTGCCTGGAGAGTCAGCTCCAGCTGCAACAGGCCCTGAGGGGGAGAGGACAGACACACACAGCTAGTCAGGCTCACCGAGGTCGTGCCACCCGGATCGGTAGCTAGGACGCGCGTCCCGCTGGCTTCTGCTCCTGCCTGGCCTGTTGGCCCTTGCCTCCCAGTGTGCGAGAATGCTTGGCCCTCGGGACGTGCTGGGGAGATATGTGTTGAGTGAATGAAGGACGGAGTCCCAGCAATCGAAAGAGGGAAAAAAATGGAATAAGCCTGAACTTCATCCAACAGTCCATCAAGGCTTCCTATTCTTCCTCCCTTCCCTCCCTTCCCTCCCTC